GTTTTTCTTCTTTTTTCTGTTTTTGTTTTTGCTTCTTTCTTGTGTTTTTCTCATTTATTGTATCAACAACATCCCTAACTGCTGGTTTGAACTCTTTCTTCTCTTGTCCAGACTATCACTACTCACACTTACCAATACTAATTCCTACAACCTAATTTACTTATTTGATATTTTTCTTTCTTCTTCTATCAAGTTTGGTTATTAATTTCTTCTTGCTGATGCCAATTGTTATTTGAACGAGGTTTGGTGAAGATAAATTGTTTTTGTCTATTCATATTTCAAGGATTTATGAAAAGGTTGGATGATGAAGATGATTGTGATTATTATGTTTGTGTTATCTTTGGTGTTAAACATTGGTATTTGTAAGTTTAAATTAAATGATAATTCTGAATAGTTTTAACATTAAAATGAATGAATAACATATCTAGAATATACTCTATAACAAATGGATCAAGTATTTTATGTTGTTATTATATTTCAATTCTTCTAGAGCGTTTATTTCAATATATTCTCATAAGAAGGAAATATTCTATTACTAAAAAAGTCTTATTTTTAATTTTCATTTCATATAACATAATAAGTAATTAAGTAAGTATTAATAGAACTAGATTCTATTGTTAATGACTCAGGGGAGACTAATCACATCCTTGAGTCTTTTTTCTAGCAGTTTTACGGAGTATGTTTGGTTGTGATTGAAGCAATATTCCATGACATCCATCATGTTTTTTATTACAATGTTTTTTACTTCTTTCTCGATGTCAATGTCAATTTTTAATTCTTTAATTAATTTACTACTTTCTTTATTTATTAATCCATTTATTGAAATTATTACTGGAATTATTTTGACATCTTTTAACTTTTCTATTTTCATTAGAATATTCTTTAATTCATTATACTTATTTCTTTTCTTCCAATATTCTCCATTAATATTGTGATATTCAACAATAGTCATATCAAATAATAGACCAGTTTTATTCTTTTTATCTATTACATATATATATGGTATTTTGTGGTATTGTCATTCACTTTTATGCATTATTTGTTTGTTCCATATCATTGTGATGTCTTTATAATTGAACATTGTTTCATATGGAGGTTTTTTATATTGATTATTTCCTGTATATTTTCTTATTAATCAATATTATAATGCCGATATTGTCATGTTTTTCCATTTGTGATTTATTATGATAAATACAAGATAGTAAAATGTGTTCTACTGTTGCTATTTTGTCTTTACAAAGTGGGCAGTATTTCAATCTTTCATTTTTCATTATTTTTGATTTTCTATACAATCTGAATATTGCTCCATCTTGCATTTTAGTTAATTGTAGAAATGCATTTTTTTTAATATTGAATGACTTCCATGCTTTCACTGTAATAGTTTTATCTACTCATTTTGACTCAAACCATCTTCTAAAATATCCACTTATTATTTCTTCAATTTCATTGTGGATTATTCAAATTACTTCACTACTTTCTGTCATTATTCTCAAATCATCCATATATAATATGTGATTTGATTTTGGGAATTTCTCTTCGATGATTTGAGAAATTACATTCATCTGTATGATGAAGAGTAGATTTGATAATGAATCACATTGTAAAATTCCTCTATTTAATTTAATACATCCTAGATATTCATTAAATTTATAACCCAATGAATATCTTCCATCTAGTCATCATACTTTCAATAATGTCAATGATGACAAACTCTACATTAAAATACTTTAATGATTCAATTACCCATTCGTGGTTTACTGTGTCATATGCTTTCTTAATGTCATAATATGACTCCACATATTTTGGGTATTTTTCTTCTTTCTGCTTTAACATATAACTATTAATTATTCCTTCTTTAGCAGCTAAAGATTGTAATTTACATCCCAATTAATTACTACTAATTTTCAATGATTCACAATTCATGTTAAGTCTTCTGTGAATCTTTTCTTTTAATATGGAGGTAAATACTTTCATAATTACATTTGTACAACTGATATGACGATAATTAGTGACGTCGTTCCTATCACCTCCTTTGTGGATTAATAAAGTTCTTCCACTTACCATGTCTAATGGGATGTATTGATTGAAGTTCAACCATTCATTGAAGATACTGAGAATGGTTTCTCTTGATGATGACATCATTTTCCAATAATACCCATATATAGTGTCTATTCCTGGTGCTTTCCAGTTACTTATTCTCATTATACTTAAATTTAATTCATTTATTGTTATAATGACATTATCATAATTTCTATATCTTTCATTCCACGAGGTGTTTTGTTTTATTTTCCAATTTTCTTTATTTAATATCACCTGTGTTTCATATAACATTTCAAATATTCTAAAGTAATATCGTTATTTGGGTATATTTCATTTTTTGGTTCTTTCTTCCTTATTCTAATTTTCTTGTTAGAATCAAACATGATTTTATTTGTATTGATTCTGACCCTTTCTTCCTTATTAAATTTAATTCTTTCTTTGATCATTCTCATCATATATTTTAGGTATTTTATTCTTTCTAGTGATTTGACTTTTATTCCTTCTTCATCATGTTCTTTTAATTTCATGATGCACTTTATTCTGTACCATTTCATTGAATATATCTTCTAGTCTATTGATTTTCTTTATATTTCTTTTATTTCATCATTTTTATCTCCTATTATTTTATTTTGGAGATAGAGGTACATACAAATTGAAATCATCTTCATATCATCTTGCAGATAATCAATTCTGCTTCCTGACAATATCAATCTATTATTAATTTCTATTATTAATTCGTCAGCTTCTTTTCTTTTCCAGTAGTAATTAATGTTTGTACATTTTTCTACTTTCATTTCTTTCATTTTATTGATGAGAGTGTTAAGGTATTCTTCATCAATTTCAATAGAGTTATTCTTTAATATGATGTTTTTTCTTTATTATTGAATTACACTCTACTCTTCTATTATATCATTTACTTTCACTCTAATGTATTGTTTAGTATTTTCTTTTATTTTATGTGATATTTTAATATATTTAATATATTCTTTTTCCATTATTGA